ATGGTGCAACATCGCAACCCCAGGCTTCAACTGCACGTCAGCCTGATGCGGATACAATTAAGATGTTTGTTGGCCAAGTAAGTTTTTCACTTTCAATTATTGTCTCACTTATGATCGGGTTTATTGTGTTTAGTTTTAGCTAGGCGTAAAACAAATACTATGTGTGTGATATTACAGCAAATTGATCTTTTGTTGAAGTTGAATAATGGGAAGAAGAAGCCTTTGTTAGTGGCCAACTTTTGAATCACGCAGATAATTCAAAACAAAATTCTCGTCTGGTTCTGCATTCTAGATAACGGGCAGTAATCTCTTGTCGTTTTATATATTCTTCTTTCTTTAAAGATTTAGTTTACTTTGTAAGGTTGATATGGAAACCATGACAGTGTTTTTTAGTTATAAACGTGATCTTTGTAAAGGTACTGTTTTTAGGCAAAAACTACTTGTTTTAGACTACTTAAGCAGTGTAAATGAATTTTATTGAAATGTATAACTGACTGTTCTTTCTTTATATTTGCATTCAACTTGTTATCAGCTCTTATTTTACATAAGTTATAATCACTAGTAAATAAAACCACTCAATTTTTAATTTGTTTTAAAACGATGTCAGAGCTTGGTTATTGTATCATTATTTTTATATGCATATATGGGCGATTTCACTGCAGTCCGCACACTTTTCGCTCTTCTCAAATTTTCCTTTAAACTTTGCGGATCAGTAGGTCTGGTTTGGAATTTAAAGAGCCATGGAAAGAATCTAAAAAAGCCATTTTTTGTGGACTTTTATTTCGTCAAGGTGGAAAATTATTTTGACATTTTGGCTTGATAACGCTCTTTTTAAGAGCATGTATCTCAATGATTTATAGGTTGATTTACAGATGCAGTTTAAGTTTTGACTTTTTTGAAATCACCTGATTTGAAAACCCTAAAAGATATTTTTTTATGCAGCATATCGTCCAATTAATTAAAAACCACAAGAGCAAGTCTTGTGAGAAAATTGCAAACAAGTGACATAGTGGTGCACAAAGAAAAATGCAAAATTCATGCCGATTTTTCTGCTCAGCAAATTGAAGAGATAGGGTGGGAATTCTCGGTTTTGGAATTACAGTTAAGTAATAGAGTTGAAAGTGACATTTTTAGTCTGTTTTAGTAAAATTCTCCACTCAACCTGCCTTTCCACTGTTTTTGCTGTAGTTGCATTTTGTTCTTATAATATGGGAGGACATTATAAGATCTTCATCTACGGAGGCTGAAACCAAAGATCACCTCCCTTGGCAATTACCTTTGGTCATTTGGGGGCTAGCTGACTGGTACTTAGAGGCATCTTAGAAAGGATACGTTCTTATTGTCATTTCCATTTCCGTTACATAAGACGTCAGCTAGGGTATCGCATTTTTAAAAACTTTGCTAGAATGGTTTTATTCGGTTTTTTTGATTTACTGTAGCCGTAGAAGTCAGAACTTTTTCACAGTGGAAGGCTTTTTTT